AGAGAGGAGGGGACGTTCACCCGGATGGATAAGGTATGCCGCCCGGTCCCCTCCTCTCTCATGAAAGTATGTCCTGTTGCACTCCTTAACGAATCAAAAAAATACACCTGTATATCAGGCGGGTACAAGCAAACACCATTTGAACATGAAGCAAATAAAGTTCAATGACACATATATGTCATTCATGTACAAATGTTTTTGGGGCCTCGCAGGGTCCCCTTCATTAGGCTCAGAAACGCCTCCTCTCTCCTGACACTGTCGGGCTCTCGGTCCGTGACCGAGTGTCCGACTTTTCATGGGGGGTGACACCAAAATGACTGGCAGTCATTTTGGTGTCACCCCTTCAATGGTGGCACCCAGGTGCGGGCCACCACCCCCCTTGTGACGCCACTGTATAGACATACCAATGTAAGAGAACACCCTCCTCCTGGACAATTGCCCAATCAGAACATGTCACAAAACACTGCCATAGAGAGTGACGGCAGATTGCGCACTTTTGCCACATGTTTGCAGCCAGTACGTTTCGGTTTTTTTTTAAACTCTCTATGGCGGTTTTTTGTGACATGTTATGATTGGGCAATTGTCCAGGGGGAGGGTGTTCTCTTACATTGGTATGAACAAGTTAGTTGTGGTGCGCAATTACTGAGTAGTTAGGTGCCAACCCCTGGTTGTGTAATAATGGCAAAAAAGGAAAGAAACAAGTTGGGGGTTTTTTGGCACCCTATGACAAGTCCAATAAGCTTCCAAGAGACGATTATTGATATATAAAAATATATTATTTATTCCATACAAAAAAATAAAAAATATCAAGAAGACACGGCTGGAGACGGCCCCACGTGTACCGGCGGCGTTTGGCGTTGGAGGACGATAGGAGGCTGCCCTGAGGCCTCTTTACACAACAGAACCCTCCTTTTGATGGCATATTTTTTCCCTGGATGGATTGGCCTTGGATATAAGACTACTCTACCCCCGATCATACCAGTAGTACCTTTTAGGAACAGCCTCTGTGTTGGGTCTCCATCCTCCTTCACCCTGGGAATACCTGCCTCCCCGTTCCGCCTGGCGTATTTTGGTGCGTGCACCCATTGATTTCACACTTGAGGGGATCGCCTCCTTCTCCTGATGAAGCCCCTTTTGGCGCGAAACGCGTAGAGAATTGTAATACCACCCACTAGCCTGGTTCCAGTTAGAGGTTTTCACTTATGAATTGCATTTTCTCATGAACTGTACATGTCCATCCATTGTATGTTGATACAATCATGTAATCATATCTATACCAATCATGTTCAATATAACCTCTACTGTGGAACATAGTGGGTGTTGAGCATTGGAATACCACCCACTAGCCTGGTTCCAGCTAGAGGTCTTCACTAATGAATTGCATTTTTTCATGAGCTGTACATGTCCATCCATTGTATGTTGAAACAATCATGTAATCATCTCTATATCAATCATGTTTAATACAACCTCTACCGTGGAACTTAGTGGGTGCTAGGAGGCTCTCTCTCTCTCTCTTTCTTTTGTGCGTTTCCTTTATAACCTATCTTCAATGTGATATTTTTTACTTTTTTGTATGGAATAAATAATATATTTTTATATATCAATAATCGTCTCTTGGAAGCTTATTGGACTTGTCATAGGGTGCCAAAAAACCCCAACTTGCCATTATCTCTCACATTGGTATTTCTATATAATATATGTTGTTCATTTATTTGGCGTCATTCTGAGCCTGATGAAGGGGACCCTGCGTTGCCCCCGAAAGCGCTAGTTCTCGAGTGGCTATGTTCCCTCAATAGATGGACTTTTGCTTTTGAATCATTGGTGTGCTGGTGACATCTCCACAATTTCAGTTTATTCACGATGCCATCCGTGGTCACTGCAAGCACCCACCTGTATATCAGGTTTTTCCATCCGGTAAGGAGTGCAACAAGATACTCCTTCTAGACGTATACAAAAAAAACCCGCAACAGCCAATGACGGATCAGCTTTGAAAAGGAAATCTTACATTTTAATAGAAATAAAAAAATAAATGACATCTTTAAGAATGACATGAGACAGCTCGTTATGTAACGCTTTATAAAAATGTTCCCTTCCAGTTTGCAGCCAGATGAGGTTCTATGAAACTGGCAAATATATTTCTGGGCAACCATGGTGACAGCATTCAGGTTACAGCGATGGTTCCACAGCATCCTCATCCCCCTGCTTCTGTAATTGACCTATTGCTTCTCCTAGAAGTCTGCACAGACCTTGGAACTCAAGCTGGAGCGCCGGAGTTGCCCACCCCTGCCTTACAAGGACATCTCCCCTATTCAGGGACAAAAGGTGGTTTCTATTTAAAGGGGTCCACTGCCACTCCTTTCGCTGCCTCCTCCCATATAAAATGGTGCTTGGATCTAGCAGCCAATTACTAGGCTGACGCACTGTCACATGATGTAGGGAGCAACGTCACCGTTCTAGCAGCCAACACCGGGGAAGTAGCGGCTGCTGCAAGGAAGTAGCGGTGGGGGAGCGCTGGCACAGTGAGTATTAGGGGGTCAGAGGGACCCCTTTATTTTATGATTAACATATTTTCACCGGACGCCACCATCTATCCACATAGTGTACCATCTGCGGCCCATGAAAGTGGCATGCGGGCCGCCCCTGCCCTAGAGAAAGACAAGGTTATCTGGTCCAACTGCTTTATTTGCATTGAGAATTTTAAGTCTTTGTTCTATTCCGCTTTCCGTCAACCATTGTGGTATATTATCAGTTGAACTATGTGTTTTATCATGTACGTCGAAACCGTTTACCTCCTCAGTGTATACTGAGGAGAAAAAATTGTTCAGCGCATTGGCCCTCTCCTTGTCACTTGTGAGTAACTTCTCGTTTTCGTCCTTTATTGGGCCTATCTGCTCCTTTCTTACCTTTTTACCTTTTTCCCGTCGGAAATCCTGATGTTTATAGACATTAAGAGGTCAAACTACACAGTATACTGTATAGTATAAAGAGAGAAGAGCACTTCCTGTCAGCGGTACCGGGAGGACTGTGCACACATTCAGCTTTACACCCCTCCGTCATCCTCCTCAGTGCTGTAACTGCCCCTCCCCTTTTTTATTGTCTTATGGGACATCTCCCCATTTATTGCCGCCCTCCCTTTTTATTTCCTAATGTGACAACCCCACCTTTTTATTGGCTTATGGGACATCCCCCATTTATTCCCCCCCTTTTAATTGCCTAATGGGAAAGGCCCCATTTATTGCCTCATGGGATCTCAGACTCTCAGTCCGCAGACTCTTGAGTGATCACCACTAAGACGTGAGGGGCTGTGAAGACACTCACAAAACACACACATTCACCACTCATACAGAAATAAAGTCAGAGCATACATAGTTAAAGGGCAGGTTCGTTCACTTTTTCAAAAATTGTGAAAAATATTCACTTACCCACAGCACTCCAGCACCTCCCACCAGCTGCCACAGCACCTACATGTTTGAGAACCCTCCAGCTGGTGTAGCGGTCCATGCACCAGACTTCCCTTTATGGAATGCACTTATTGGTCAACAAGGTCATATGACCACAATGACCAATGAGATACATTCTGAACCAGTGGCTGGGAAGTCTGGTGCATGGAAGACCATGACAGTGGCTGGTGGGGACTTTAGACATGTAGTTGCAGTGGGGGCCGAGGGAGGTGTCAGGGTGCTATCGGTATGTTCAGTTTGTTCACATTTTGTGAGAAAGTGAACTTACCCATTTAAAAGCATACAGAGAGCAAAGCGATAACACACCATCACAGCACACAGAGTACAAAGTCAGAGTACACCCAGACAGCACACAGGAACAGGCACAGGTGGAACACATACAAAACACACACACACAGAGTAAACACAGCACACACTGTCACAGCACACACTGTCACAGCACACACTGGTTTGATGATCACAATGCAGGCTGAGCATAAACAGCATGTACATTCAGAGCACACAAACACTTCACAATATCATTTATTTTGTAGTAAGTGTTGGTAGAAGGTTGCAGCATCCAGGAATTACTATATTTCATTCACATACTTTGCTAACTTTATTTTTTGTTAATTGTCTAACATTTAACAAATTACATTCAATACAGAGTGACACATTTTTTAGAGCATGTTGGACTTTCTAATGAGAAAGCTGCTAGGTTTACCACCTGCTTGTTGCAAGTGGCAATTGGTAAAGTGGGATTAAAGGAGAATTATCAGGCGAGTGCTTTTCACTCAGCCTCATAATCTGAGCCGACCTGTGACAATGAAACTGTCACAGGTCGTCTCAGTAGATCGGGAAGTGAGCGAACACATGCCGTCGCTCGCTCACTTCTCGATTTATCCCTGCAGAGAGCCGTGACCGTCGCTCACGGCTCCCTGCAGGGATTCCCCCCTCCCCGCTCCTCCGGCGCTGACTGGCGGGAACGGACGGGGGAGGGGGCGGGCACAGTTGGCTCTGCCTCTGGATAGGCAGAGCCAGCTGTCAATCCCGCAGCTGGGTGGATCTTAACAGAAATGTCGGGATCTGTTCCAGCGTCTCTGAGCTTACTGAGTATACTGAGCTTTGGGGGACGGGAGGACGCTAGTTTGTGTTCTCCCGTGACCCTTAGGAGAACTATGGGGAAGAGCCCTGACCCCATAGTTCTCCTTTAAACCGCTGTGCACGCACCATACACAGGAGGAAGAGAGGAAAAGGAGGAAGAAGATTTTTTGGAAGAGACTTTGCACATCTCTTCTGCCAAAAGTTCCTTCCTCCTAGCAAATGTTATGTTTAGAGTTTAGTTCCTTATTGAAAATCTGTGCTGACAGACATTCATTTAGCGGATACAATGTATCACCTCTGTTCTCAGTTTCCTCCTGTCTGCCAGTTGCACAGCACGGTGAGGATTGTGTCACAATGCAGCGGTTACACAGTCTGAAGGACATGGAGTAGAAGAATCTGATAAAAAGTTCATCCAGAAGCCCCAACAGTCACAACAGTCAGGGGGAGCCGCCTTACCGTATAACAAAGTCGGCCTCGTCGATCTGCTTGCCACATCTGCTGCCTTTCAGAATGCCGCCGTTTCCCACCACCGAGCATTTCTTCAATGGAAGCTTAAAGGGGATCTCCTGGCAACAGAGACAAGAGAGAGATTACCAGCAGTCACCACTATTGTCACCGGTACAATGTCACCATGAGGGAGCCAGGGGGGTGTTTAACCTGGAGGAGAGATGGGGGACCCCCGCTGTGGCTGTTGGCTGTTTTAGCCAGTCTTTTTTTTTTTGTCTGGCTGTAGCTGTGACATTTTTCCCCACTTCCTCTCCCCATAACAAAAGGGACAATATGCCAATATATACTTTTTTTTTAAATAACTACATTATATTTTTTACACCAGTGCATTGCTGTAACCTACAGTAAAATGTGCAAATCACAGCGCACCGTACGTGCATTGGTGGACTGCAGTCGCATTCATTTAGAATGGCACCCCAGCACATCTGCACTGCAACACAACACAATGTGCACTGTGTGGCACGCGGAGCGGTAAAGAAAATGCAGCATTTTTGTGCACTGAGGTGCGCTACAGCCCATTGTTTCTGAATGGGCTTCCTAACACAACACACCTTAATGCATGAAAGAGCATGCACTGTGGCGGGAACCAGTCCCGAGTAGGGTAGAAGGAGTTTAGGAAGACAGGAAGCTTTTTATTGACACAGTCAGCAAAACCAGCTTTGGCTAGAGATGCACTTTAAATGCTTACTCTTGGCACATAACCTTTAATTTAAATAAATGAAAGTAACACTTACAGGTCTCATCCCAACCCTAGCCTCTCACTAGGCAGTGAAAGGAGAAACAGCAGACTGAAGAACTCATCTCTCTGTCAGTCTGCTTTCCCCTCCCATCACCATGGCCCTTGTGGGCACATTAACTCTGCAGCACAACCGATGGGCTCCTTGTGCTGCTTCTACCGTTCACAGTCTAAGCTCTGCTCTACAGAGTCTGCAAGAGGCTGATACCAAGTCAACTTCAGCCACTTACACTGCTGGCATAAAAACAATACATGTAATGATGCATTAATGAATACAGAGTGACGTTCACAGTGTGTCTGTGAAGGTTTTTATTCATCCAGGTCATGGTATATCTGTAAAAAATAAGTCAAGGCAATTGGGCTTGCTCTATTTTTCTTGAAGACGTTTCACTGGACATCCGACCAGCTTTCTCAATTCAGAATGACTTGTACAAAACTTATCTGGGAATAAATATGGGGAATGTTGCTCCAATCCACATAATCTGTTAGTCACAACCAGGTGTTGATTGCAGTTGCATAATTGGAGCTAGGTGTTTAAACAGCATTGAATGTTAGGTGGTGGTGGTGAGACATCTATTGTCTGCCACATACAATGCTGTTTTAACACCTCTGTCTGGGTCGGTTATTAACACCTAGCTCCAATTATGCAACTGCAATCCACACCTGATTGTGACTAACAGATTATGTGCATTGGAGCAACATTCGCCATTTTTATTCCCAGATAATTTTTTGTACAAGTCATTCTGAATTTAAAAGCTGGTTCGATGACCAGTGAAACATCTTCAAGAAAAATACAGCAAGACCAGTTGCCTTGACTTATTTATTACAGACACATTCACTTGTGCCTTCTATCTTCCTGGAGTTCAGCTTTAAAATATGCCAGGCTCGAGAAGGGAACTCACAAGCTAAATAAGTAAGTCAGCGTGCACCTGCGTCTGTACTGTTCCACTATACAGTGCCAGTGCCATTCATGCAGTAGCAGAGCAGAGACAGCTCCAATTGCATTATGGCTCCCGATTGGCAACTTCACCATATAGCACATATAGAGAGGTGCTGTACGCACCCCCTTTTTTTGCACAGCTGGATTGTTGATCTAAATCTATTTAGGGAAATGCAAGAATGACAGGAAGATTGATGCAAAAACATGAAAGCAGACTGAGGAAGTGTGTATAAAAACGGTAAGGTATTTTTTACAGCTTTGTGTCTTCTGACCTGAAGGTTTTTGCTGACGTTTGTGGTTTTAGTTCATTTTACCTCTCTGTAATAATGTTTCTACATATTTCCTCATTCTACCTCAACTCTTCTGTAATTTAACAGATTTTATTATTTTAGATTGTATTTCCCATCATGCCTCTGGCCCGCATTCCACTTTCATGGACCGCAGATAGTAAGCTATGTGGAAAGATGGTGGCGTCTGTTCAGTTGGAAATGGGTTAATCACAAAATAAAGGGGACCCCCTGATGCTCACTGTGCCAGCGCTCCCCCACCACTACTTCCTCGCATCAGCCACTACTTCCCCAGTGTTGGATGCTAGAGAGACAATGGTGATGTCACTCCCTACGTCGTGTGACATTGTGTCAGTCTAGCCATTGGCTGGTAGATCCAAACACCGTCATATGGGAGGGGGCAGTGAAAGGAGTGGCGGTGGACCCCTTTACATAGAGGCCGTACCTTGGCCCTGATGGGGGGAGGTGCCCCTCTAAGGCAGGGGTGGGCAATGGCTGTTCCAACCTGTTAAAAACACTCTAAATCAGGGGAGGGTCTGCTTTCCTATAATCACATGATCACTCTAAACAACAAACAAGGAGCATTGCACCCCTGGTATTCGTATAACTTGCACCCTCTGTATTATTGTAAGCCAGGCGTGGTCAACTCCGGCCCTCCAGCTGTGCTTTAACTACAAATCCCAACATGCCTCTGCCTCTGGGAGTCATGCCTGTAACTGTCAGTCTTGCTTTGCCTCATGGGACTGCCACAACAGCTGGAGGGTCGGAGTTGCCAAGCCTTGCTGTAAGCTGTATCCTTGGATATTTTTTCTATGAATTCCTGGGAGATCTATAAAAAAAAACTAAAACTAATTACAAACTTCACCCCTGTGAACAAAAAAAGTGAACCATGAAACCACAGCACACTAAAAAAAAAAAAAAGAAGTGCACGAGGGTTCTTTGGTCCTCCTGCGAAGAGAAAGGGCCTCAAATTTATGAATCCCCCGGGGCGAAGGCTCCTGACAGGGGCAAGGACAACTCAGGTCCACCTACCCAAAGGCCGGTATACCCCGATTCTCACGAGTATGTCCCACGAGTACTAGGTAGGGGGCTCCCCCAAAAAGAGATCCCCACGTGGGGGGGAGGCAGAGAAGCCTGTGAAGGCCACAGAATCTCCCCCCCCAACATCAGGACAGTCCCTGAAGGTACCCCCAGTCTCTGTGGAGTTAAAAGTGCTCAATTGTGCATAAAAAAGTGCTTTAAATAAAAAAGGTGCCAGTGCACAACCCTGGCAGGCCTTTCGGCCACAGTAAAAAATTGCCCCCCGGTTAGCCAAAAGGCCTGCCCTAGAGGCGTTGTGCAGAAATTGATAGAAGTGCCATGACCTAGTGACAGTGAATCACTGTGGGGTCCCACTCCCAAATGATTTTCTAGCACACCCTGGAACGCCACCCACCAGGGGGCACAGCACCATGGTCCGCTGCGCCTCCTGAACCCTCCGGCCAGACCAGAGCAGCACCCATCCCCATCAGGCGGTATCAGTGCCAAGGTGCTCCCACCTCGGATGAAACGCCTCAGCACCCACCTTCACTTCAGAGAGTACTAAGCAACCATCCCCCCGACAGGACAGTACTATTCCCCTCTGAAAATAGATAAGAACAGATAGTACACTTGATCTTAGCCAAAAGGGCCGAGAAGCAATTGGGTTTAGCAGGTTTTTGTTGTGGTTTTTTTAAAAGCCAGTGGAGCGTGCTTATGAAACACCCAAAAAAGTGAACCAAAAAAGTGCACAACAAGGGTGCTATCTAAAAGGTCCGTCTCCCGAAGAGACAGGGCCCATCCCTGATCCCCCAGGGTGCAAGGCTCCTGACGAGGACAAGGCACGCGTGTCCACCTGGCTGAAACCAGACGGACCCATTCCTCATGGCCAGCCGAAACGGACCATCGAATACTAGGTTGGAGGCTACCCCGAAGGGAGACCCCCGATTCGGGGAGGAAGGAACCTGAGGGCCACACATCATCCCCCTTGACTTCAGGGTAGGCCCGAAGACCCACACCCTCCGTCCTGTGGAGTGAAAAACATAAATAAAAAAGAAAGGTGCACAAACAGTGAGAAAAATAACTTAGAGTGCCAATGTTAATACGGCCCGGTAATTAAAACTTACCTCTGGTCTCAGCCAAAAGGCCTAGCCCAAGAGGTGATGTGCAGCAAAAAGCATAAGGAGCCGTGCCAAAAGTGCCGTTCACACTTGTGGGGTCCCAGGGGGCGTTAACACCACAGGCTTAATGCTTTACAAGCCCATGGCCAGACCAGTGCAGCCCCGTTCAAACCAGGAGGTACTGGGCCCTGCCAGAACTCAGCGCCGAGGAGTACTCCCGACCCCCACTCTATACGTGAGTGGACACTTACTTTGGTTTCCTCCCCATTGCCGAAGCCTTTTAGGAACCCCCGTCACCAGGCAGGGTACTCGGAATTCAGTCATACTAGCCAAAAGGCCGGTATAGTGGCTCCTTTTCCCCCCTGCCACTGATAAGAACAGATACTACACTTGATCTTAGCCAAAAGGCCGAGAAGCGGGTTTGGGTTTAGCAGGCCACCCCTAACACACAGCACCTCCAGGTATGCAAGCTCCATGCCATTAAGCAGTACAGCGTGGTGCGGGACCTGGATCACAAACCCGCTTGGATTTAGCAGTTTACCCGGCAACTGATTTAATGTTAAACCCGCCCACACTTTTTCTTTTCTACCTAATTTAGTGTCATCTCCGATCCCCACTGATACATTTAATGTGCTGCTATAAATAGAACAGAATTTCAGCATTTGTTTAAATCTCGCAGTGATGCCTATTGTTGTAAGACATTATAAGGCATATTATAAGGCATACGGAGCGCATGCAAATGTATCTATTTACATATGCATGTTAACAAGCTCGTTTGCATAGCATGCAAAATAAACCAGTACATCCATATAGAAAACCATCGAAATGCAGTGATGCCTATTGTTGTAAGACATTATAAGGCATACAGAGCGCATGCAAATGTATCTATTTACATATGCATGTTAACAAGCTCGTTTGCATAGCATGCAAAATAAACCAGTACATCCATATAGAAAACCATCGAAACAGCATAATGAATGTAAATGTTTCATTCACTTCAGTCTCTGGGAATTTGGTACAAAGAAATGATCTGTACGATGGGCAGGACTGCGCATACAAAAGAGGAGATTTAATTTAATATCTTTATTTAAAGGGAACCTGTCATGATGGCTATCACATGATGCTCTCATCCAGCTCTGAAGCCAGTCAATATCCAATTCATACAGCCAGTGCTAGTTCTGGGGTGGAGGCTGTGAGTGAGGCTGTAAGGGTAAACTCCACCTGCAGATATAAGCTTCGCCCCAGGACTAGCTCCCCCTCCAGGAATCGGCCACTGCTAGTCTCCAGTGCTGGATGGCAGCCCCGGCTGTCATGGATAAAGGTCATCCTTTAAATAAACCAAAGAGCAATAAGAATGTGCAACACATCATAGCGACCATTAAGATTTAACTTCTGCAGTATAAGATTAGTGGGATACATTCTGACTGGTCTTGCGTGTCACTGTAATTTACATATTACGGTGTGCATTGTTGAATATGTATAATTCACTTCTAATGGTAGGTGGTCTAAGAACTGAACTCCGGTTCCAACCATTTTTGCCAAGTTCCACCAATCCCGGAGAAGCCCCCAATAATCTCCAGCTGCAGTACAGGAAGTGTGTCAGGTTCCCCCTATAGGCAGTACAGGTGGAGCAATGCATGGGCATGAGAACACTGACACAGGACATATTATGCAGCCTATGGACCGTTTGCAGGTCTTAGGATTAATACTAGAGGCAGATCAACCGGACTTTGATAGAAGTACTGGCTACCCAATACATAACAAATTTAGTTGTGGCCTAACAGGTCTTGCATGTCACTGTATTTTACATATTATGGTGTACATTGTAGAATATGTAATATTCACTTCTAATCGTAGGTGGTCTAAGAACTGAACTCCGGTTCCAACCATTTTTTCCAAGTGCCACCAATCCCGGACAAGCCCCCAATAATCACCAGCTACATTACAGGAAGTGAGTCAGGTTCCCCCTATAGACATTGTAGGGACAGGTTGAGCAAAGCATGGGCATGATAGCACAGATACAGGATGTATAGGCAGCCAATGGACTGTTTGCAAGGCTTGGGATTAATATTAAAAGGCAGATCAACCGGACTCTGAAAAGTACTGGCCATCCAATAAATGAATGTTTGTCTGTGGCCTTACAGCTATTCATGTTTTCGCTTAGTTATACTTAAACACTATTTAAATCTTATTAATAATTTTAAGTTATGAAATCAGTGTTACTTCTGTAATGTTTTAGAGGACATATTCACCCAAAACTGTTCTTTTACTCTTGTATCGTTGCTTGCAAGTTGAACCAACCAGCAGCATCTCATCTCTCTTATAACTTCCAGTGGGAAGATATTCCTGACTGCAGAAAATGTCATAGTTCTGCCAATTTCCCCACATTATAATGGTGTCACCCTCCCCAAGTGGACTTCAAAAGAACTGTGGAGTCCATTGGTGAGCGAGTGACACCATCATTGTGGCATTGTGGAAGAAAGAACACTCAGAATAAGATGAGATTTTGGGATTCTGAATGAAGTACCTTTACCTTCAAAACAACAATGTAAAACGAAAATCTAGGCGTCAGAAGCATCGGGGAGAACCGGAATTGTGACACACAGAAACATACACTATGACAATATGTAACCATTCAGATTCCATTCTTGGCCAATGAATGAGGATAAGTAGAGGTGGGCTGACCTGTGGGAAGAGACTGTAGGTGGAGTTATCGATGGTCAGCGAATACAGGAGTTCCCCATCAAACCAGAGATTCTCGCCCAGCAGGGTGTTCACCTTTGTCATGGAGAAGAGGTGGCTGGGGTCACAGCAGTCAGTCAACAGCTTCCTGGAAGAGACAACAAGGCTGTTATAAAGACCATTATAACCGGAGCAGAAATAAAACAAAGTATCCTGAGAACAGAGACTACCCAAGTGCTGCAGATCAGCAATTGATGGCGGTGTCAAATTTTATGAAAGTACAGAAAGTGCGGCCCCATACATGGGATTAACACTGCCAGAACGGATTGTAACTGGACACTCTATACCCCTGTATGGTAAAGTGTACAGACAAAGATTCTTTTCGTATGTCTATTTTAGTTTTGAATGGTGTGGGGAAGGATTAGAGAGATTTCCCCTGCTGGCAACATTTTACAGGAAGTGGAAATAATATCCAATATCTATCTATGATCAATTTATCTCAGATCTATCTATCTATCTATCTATCTCAAATCAATCTCTGATAAACCTATCTTAGATCTATCTACCTATGATCAATCTATTCCAGATCTATCATCTGTCTATCAATCTATCTCAAATCAATCTATCAATCTATCTACCTATCTATCTTATCCATCCATCTCTCTGTTATCCATCCATCCAGCTATCTCTCTATTATCCATCCATCCCTTTATTATCCATCCCTCTATTATCCACCCATCTCTCTATTATCCACCCATCTATTATCCATCCATCCATTTATCTCTCTATTATCCATCCATCTCTCTATTATCCATCCATCCCTTTATTATCCATCCCTCCATTATCCATCTCTCTATTATCCATCCATCCATCTCTCTATTATCCATCTCTCTATTATCCATCCATCCATCTCTCCATTATCCATCCATCCATCTCTCTATTATCCATCCATCTCTCTATTATCCATCCATCTCTCTATTATCCATCCATCTCTCTATTATTCATCCATCCATCTCTCTCTCTATTATCCATCCATCTCTCTATTATCCATCCATCCATCTCTCTATTATCCATCCATCTCTCTATTATTCATCCATCTCTCTATTATCCATCCATCTCTCTCTCTATTATCCATCCATCCATCCATCTCTCTATTATCCATCCATCTCTCTATTATCCATCCATCTCTATATTATCCATCCATCTCTCTATTAATCATCCATCCATCTCTCTATTATCCATCCATCTCTCTATTATCCATCCATCCATCTCTCTATTATCCATCCATCCATCTCTCTATTATCTATCCATCCATCTCTCTCTCTATTATCCATCCATCTCTCTCTCTATTATCCATCCATCTCTCTCTCTATTATCCATCCATCCATCTCTCTATTATCCATCCATCTCTCTCTCTCTATTATCCATCCATCTCTCTCTCTATTATCCATCCATCTCTCTCTCTATTATCCATCCATCTCTCTATTATCCATCCATCTCTCTATTATCCATCATCTCTATTCTGTAGACTATTTCTGTTGTTCCTTTCTTCAGAGAAGTTGGTAAATCTGGCTGTGAAGTGATGGGAGGGGATGAATGGGGCTCATTGTGCTCGGGTCTATGAACTGGGATGATTATGCTCTGCTGATCATTAATTAAATAAAAGGCTCTCTGTTCCCGGGAATGACGGTCCACAAATCAAGACATCTGGGTCAGGGTTGGTGTGTGGCCAAATCTGTAACACGATGGGTCTGATGTCACGGAAAGAAGACCCTGGCTGACGGACATCAGATACTTCCCGAAGATGATATTTGGTGGTGATGGGTTTCTGCAGACCGCTGCCACTTATTTGTTGCTATGTGCAGCCATACAGTAATTGCATTTATATCTGCGGCTGTCCGGACCAGATTGTTATTGTGTGTGCAGCCATGTGTGGTGTTCAGACAGATATCCTGTGCACACAAAAACATACCTAGCCCATTTTACAGCAATCTACAGAGTTGGTTAGAACTCCCTCCTAGGGACGTCTATTCTACACTTTCACCACCTCTTACCATAAAGAAGCCTTTCCATATGTTGTGCATGTCTTCTACACCCATAGAACACTGTGGGGTTGTATTATACACACGCATTGCTTGCATTACTCATCTGCATTTCCTCGTAAAACAACGTTTTATCATCGCTGGTTTTCACACTTTTAACATATAAATAATACAACTTTTGTTTGTTGTATTACCTTTCATTTCAAGTGTCCTGAAACTGAACACCAACACAATTCAACTGCACCATGTACTGCCTACATCAGCGTAATCAAACTGCACCATGTACTGCCTACATCAGCGTAATCAAACTACAGAATCTCCTACCTATCTAACTGCAATCACACCGCAGAATCTACTGCCTGCCTCGGCACAATCGAACTGCACTATGTACTGCATACCTCTGCATAATCAAACAGCTCCATGTCCTGCCTACCTCAGTGCAATCCAACTGCTCCATGTCCTGCCTACCTCAGTGCAATCAAACTGCACCATGTCCTGCATACCTCAGTGCAATCCAACTGCTCCATGTCCTGCCTACCTCAGTGCAATCCAACTGCTCCATGTCCTGCCTACCTCAGTGCAATCAAACTGCACCATGTCCTGCCTACCTCAGTGTAATCAAACTGCACCATGTCCTGCCTACCTCAGTGCAATCAAACTGCACCATGTCCTGCCTACCTCAGTGCAATCAAACTGCACCATGTCCTGCACGTAATCAAACTGCACCATGTACTGCCTACATCAGCGTAATCAAACTGCACCATGTACTGCCTACATCAGCGTAATCAAACTACAGAATCTCCTACCTATCTGACTGCAATCACACCGCAGAATCTACTGCCTGCCTCGGCACAATCGAACTGCACTATGTACTGCATACCTCTGCATAATCAAACAGCTCCATGTCCTGCCTACCTCAGTGCAATCCAACTGCTCCATGTCCTGCCTACCTCAGTGCAATCAAACTGCACCATGTCCTGCATACCTCAGTGCAATCTAACTGCACCATGTCCTGCCTACCTCAGTGTAATCAAACTGCACCATGTCCTGCCTACGTCAGTGGAATCGTACCTCAGCATACAGCATCCTCCATGTTACCACGTCCTGCAATCTAGCTGTGGTCAGACCACGTGTGTAGTGAAGTGTAAAATGCCCATTTCATAGCCGGCCCGGCGCTGACACTCTACTGACTCATCCTCCTCACATCACACACAAGCTGTCCTCTGTGTGCCGACCACAGGAGCCGAGTCATGAGAACCTTCCCATCGCTGCATGTAATGCTCCATTGACACCCATTACACAACACTCGGCTACAACAGGGGAAATACATACAAAAAATCCCCCCCCCCCCCAATAGGCGTAAGCTAGGGGCCCCATAGGGAAAGTCCGATCCATTAGGGGTGAAGTTAAGCTGCCCTCCTAAAATATAATTCCTTCCTCCGTGCTGCCAAACAGACTTATTTTGTTACTCTCATTAACACACTCTCATCCAAACCTCGTCAACTCTTTTCCACTTTTAACTCTCTACTATGTCCCCCACCGCCACCACCTAATAACTCGCTGACTGCCCAGGACATTGCCACTCATTTCAAAAACAAAATAGATACAATTCGGGATCAGATCGCCACTGTGCAGCCACCTTCCCCTATTCATGTTCCAGACCCACCACCACACTTGT